TAGACTCACCATCTAAAATCTGGGGTCTTAAAACTTGGTATCTGTTCTTGATTGTGTCATTAGGAGAGTAAGTAGAGACTAAGGTATTTTCTTGTAGAAAAGCTAGAAAACTAAACAGACAATTGAGAGTTTAGAAATCTACTTTGTAGATTTTTGGTCATGTATTAATACATTAAATAATGTTAGAGGCACACCACCCACCACAACCCCAACCACACTCCCCCCTCTCATTGTTACAGTAAACCGGGCCCCACATGAGATTTTAAATTCTTTAAAATCCCATATGGAGCCCGATTTACTGTAGCAATAAGAGGGGGGAGTGTGGTTGGGGTTGTGGTGGGTGGTGTGCCCCTAACACCACTCTAATACATTTTGCTAAAAAGACAGATGTTGCGCTCGGTCTGTGAGAAATAAACAGTCAATCTCTATATAATGCAAAACAGTCGGCTCCCTAGATAGAGGTGAAAAATTTATCCTCATTAATCCACGGCCTGTGAGAACTATGAGCAATATATCATGCTTCAGTACTCAAATGGATGTCTAGAGTTTGTTTTAGAAAGAATTAAAAAGAGTTTTAGTAAAAAAAAATAGAAAGAAAACGGAAAATTTCACTAGCTGTTACTGTCAATCTCTATATAATGCAAAACAATTTAATTAAATACAAAGAACAATACAAGTCCGGGAAAACAAAGAGGACAAACTACACCATCATATCATACTCGCTTTAAAAGCACGCGTTCGGAAAAATCTTTTTATGGTCAATATTACTCTTCACTATTTTAAATATTTCATTTATATTTTAATCTATTCTAATCATAATTATATCCTATCTTAATCCTACGTGAACTATCTATAACTTAACAATTTAAAAAATTATATTAATAAAATATGTAAAACATATTTTTATGGTATTAGTTTGACGTAATCATAATTATATCCTATTCTAATCCTACGTGAACTATCTATAGCTTAACAGTTTAAAAATATATATTAATAAAATATTTAAAACATAGTTTTATAGTATTAGTTTGTAAAGATAAAGAAATTATACGTAGCTAACGTACTATAATACATAAAGTATTACAAAAAAATCTAAAACTTTTAAAATTACACAAAACACCCTAAAAAGTTTAAAATTATAAAAAACTATCCCGACGTCTAAAAACTTAAAACGACAAACATGAAATCAAGAAATTAACAACGAAGAATTTAAAATTTGCGGATAACATCTCATTATCTCAAAAATTATAGAAACACCATCAAAAGTTTAAATTACAAACAAGCACCTGAAATTCTAAAATTTCAAAACTTACAAACAACATAGATGAATTCAAGGGATTACCATAATGCACCTTAAAATTTCTAATATTTCAAAGCTTAAAATAACAAACATGAAATTAAAAATTTAACAATAGCCTCTGAAGAATTTAAAAATTTCAATTAACACCCTCAATGTCCTAAAAATTATAGAAACTCCCTCAAAAGTTTAAATTATAAAAAAATAACCCTAAAATTATAAAAAATTTAAAATTTGTAAACAACAAAAATAAATTCAAGAGATTACCCTCATGCGCCTAAAAATTTAAAATTTACCGAAATTAACCTTAAAGTTACAAAAGTTATAAAAAAACTCTTTCAAAATTTAAAAATTATAAAAAAACTCTAAATTTTTAAAATTTATAACCAGTACACATCAAATCTGAAAACTATTGGTAGACCACTAAAATTTGAATTTTTTAAAAATTAATCTATAGTTTTAACAATTGCAAAAAACAACCTCAAAATTTTAGAGTTGTAAGAAATATCGTGACATTTAAAAATTACGACTAACACATGAAACATAGAAGTTACAACAACCAAACTTAAAAGTAATTTTTTAAAAATACTCTCAAAGTTTTGAAAATTACAAATCACACCCTCAAAGTTCCAAACCACAAAAAATGACTGAAATTTTAAAACTTGACAAAGAAAAGTATAATTGTTAGATATTCTTTCATTAACATATCCTTTTCAGTATCTAAAGACAGTCTAAGTTGATACTCGTAAACAAAAGCAATAAGAATTGATTAAAAATATCTGGTTAAGAAATAAAAATTTTAAAAATATTATAATTTAAAAATTATCGTCATCATATAAATTAAAGCAACTGCATAGAATTTTACTAATAAGTTGGAGCAGCAAAACACATTAGTAATATTAATTGATAAATGTTTAAATCCATAAAAATGATAAAAGACTATAATATAATAGCTTAGCATTCAAAAAATATAATGAATTACGTATTGAGAAACTATCAGAATGTTCAGAGATATCATTCAAAGAATCAAACTATTTCCATTGCAAATGGAAAAGTGACGGAAATAAATCTAAAATTCAGAAAACGTCCATGAATCATTTGAATTGCCATTAACATAAGGCATGTCTATTAAAGAAGCACTAACTGAGTTATATTAAAAAATAATTTAATAACTTTATCCCAATCAAATAAAAATTTTCTATGGCAGATGTAAGAAAAATTAGTAAGCATTCATAAATTTTATACTTTGTTCTTAAAATACTAAAAAAATTAAATATTAATATTATAATCTAAGATAAATTAGTAATAAAAAATATAGGTATTTAGTTTAGATATTTGTGAAAAATAACATGGATAGAGCAAATGTAATATTATTGACGTAACAGAAACTCTTGTTGGATGCACATCAGAAGAATTTATTGTAGACAAAAAAGAGGTAGCTCTTAATCTTATTTAAGTAACAAATTAGGAACAAAAAGAATTTCATATATATGAAATTAATATTTATTCTCATTGAAATAAAAAAAATCAAAGTCTGTATTTTAAGAAGTTTGTGTTGAATATCAGAAATACATTTAACTTCTTTTTGAAGTCAAACAACAAGATAAAAGATTAACGAACCCAAGAACGATAACAACACAAAAAGTATAACTCTAACCCGACATCACAATCGAGTAAATGATGAAGATACTACTATAGAATTGTCCGGGAAAAAGATAAAGGTGAAGAATGATTGATATTAGCTCAGTAAAAAAACAGAAGGAGTAAAAGATAATATTTTGTGAATATTTTATAGAATAGTTTAATTATTTTGTGTGAATTTAGAAATATTTAGAATGGAGTTTTTTTCAGTACTTTTATATGCTTGTGCAGATGCTTTTATCATATAAAAGCATATCAGAATTAGCATTAATCTTTAATTTATAATTTTTTATGAAGGTTATCAATGATTAGGAACAAAATTTATATTCTCTTTTGTATATTTTAGCATACTTTTAAGCAATTGTTTTGTCTTATTGGTTTTAAATATTCACCTTCTTTGTATAACACTGTTTTAATATTTTTTACTTTTGCAACATTATACTTTCTCAAGTAAAGATTGGTTTCATGTAAGTCAAAATAATATGAACTTTTAAATTAGCTTCAAATTATATTTGTTTTCTATCAATTTTAATATTAACATGAAAGTTTAAATTGAGTGTAGCTCATTTAAACAAACATTAAAGAAAATAACTAATCGCAATATTAAAGTTTAGAGACAAAAGTGAGTATAAACTATTAAAGTGAAACTAAAAAACAAATTTTAGTTATAAAATAAGCTAAAAATACTTAATCATGATATTTAACCACATGCATTGCACGTGTATAAAACCTAATATATAGAAAAAAACGAGCCACAAATATATTGTAGTTTACTCCTTTAGCTTACACATCCAAGAAAAAGGATGAGCAGAAGTTCATTAATCCTTTTAAGATCGAAGATAAAAATGGAATGCTCTCAAATCCTTATAAAAAAATTGCACATTAAAGGCAGGAAACAATAACCACCCCCCCCCCCCCCCACCTACCACAAAAAAAAAAACTCAGTTTCCAATCTCAAAGAATTTCTACTTTGACTGTAATACTGAGTCACAGTATAACTAAGTCGATAGTCTCCAAATTAACCTTAGTAATTTAGCTTAAAATAGTAAAAGATTTGAGTCCAAACTTTTTGCTCATTTTGGAAACTAAAAATCTAACTGAAACGAAAACCATAATAAAGTGTCCCAGGGCAAAACCCCACTCTCACCTAATTAACTGATCTAGACCTGCGCCCACTCTACTTTACTTCCATAAATGACAAACGAAGAGGCTTCAGGATGACTAAAGAAATCGCCGGTGGTTTCTAATTCAACAAACGTTTGCATACAGCTGGAGATGAATCTAATTATTGGCTCAATTATGTCTTCATCAATTATAAATGAGCTAGGTTGATTATATAAATACACCCTGGCCTATAGATACATCATGTGAGCTTAGATAAATTACGGTCAATCCAATATATTAATTAAAGTTGTATGAACACCGAGAACAACTAGTATAAGATGTAATACCAAAAGATTTTTTGAGGTAACTTGAAGATAGTAACTTTAAAGTAAACAGTTTGGTTATGAGAAACCTCACTACTACAAAATCAGACTACACTTTATTCCTGGGGGAAAAAAGAGCTTTCTAAATTGTATTCATGTTTGGCATATATACCAAAATAACTAGTCATAGTAGGCATGAAAGAAAATTAGAAATCTTCTTTTCCTACATATGTTGATAAAACACTTACCTAAGTTTGAAATATATATATAGTGCTTGGTAGTGAGGTGTCACATCCCCCTCTACTCATTCAAATGGTTGCATATTCTCATGACCCATGTGAATGTGATCCCTCATTTCAATGAGTGGATGGGAATATGCCACCTCAATACCAAGCACAAAATTTGTGCTTGGTACCAAGCATACCAATTTTTCTCATATATATATATATATATGAGAAATATGAGTATGCTTGATACCAAGCACAAAAGTTGTGCTTAGTAGTGAGGTGTCAAATCCCCCTCCACTCATTCAAATGTGAGAACAAATTCACATGGGTCGTAGTGAGTGGATAGGGATGTGACACATCACTACCAAGCATAAAATTTGTGCTTGGTACCAAGCATACCCATATTTTTCTCTCTCTCTATATATATATAAGAAAAATGGGCATGCTTGGTACCAAGCACAAAAAGTTGTGCTTGGTAGTGATGTGGCATAATCCCTCCACTTATTCAAATGGTTGCATATCCTCATGTACTCCTCAACTTATGTGAATGTGGTCCCCCATTTAAATGAATGGAGGGGATTGTGTCACCTCACTACCAAACACAAAATTTGTGCTTGGTACCAAGCATATCCATATTTCTTATTCTCATAGTGAGGTGTCTTATTCTCTCATTCAAATGAGGGACCACATTCACATGAGTTGGGGAGTGGATGAGAATGAGACACCTCACTACCAAGCATAAAAATTGTGCTTGGTACCAAGCATACTCCATAATATATATATACTATATAGTATAATATCTATAATATATAATTTAGTATATAGAGAAAAAATTGGGGCAATTGTGGTAACAAAGCAAAAAGTTAATGTTTTTTGGTAGTGAGGTTGACATAATCCCCCTCACGCTTCATTCCAATGGTTTGCATATCCCCATGGTACCTCAACCCATTGGTGAAAAATTGGGTCCCCCCATTTTAAATTTGAAAAAAAATGAAAAATTAAAAGGGCATACTATCATGTATCATCTATAAACCAAAAAAAAAGAAGTTTTTTTTAAACAAAAGAAATACCTGATTGTTGAAATTAAGCCCGGAGAACTCCCGAAGAGATAGGAGGTGTTAGGCAAATCACGCAGAAAAAGAGTCCTTCTAAGAGAGGAAATCAAGACCAAAACTTCTAACAGCGGAACAAAGCACAAAATTTTGTTCCCCATTCTTTTGGATGAGTGGGAGGGGATTATTGTCACCTCACTACCAAAGCTAAAAATTTTTTTTTTTGATGCTTGTACAAGCATTTCATATTTCTTCTCTCTCTTCTCTTCTCTCTCTCTTCCTTTCTCTCGCCTATATCTATATTATACTTATAGTATATATACCTATATAATACAAGTTTAGAGAGACCAAAAGCCATATACTATATATAATATCATATTATAGAACGAGAGAGAGAGAGGAGAATGGTAATGCGCTTGGTACAAGGCCACAAATTTTTGACCTTGGTAGTTGACTGTGTCACATCCAATCACTCAAAATTCTCATGTGAATGGTGGTCCCACATTGGAGGAGTGGGAAGAGATGTGAACACCTCACTACCAAGCAATCAACTTATTTGCTTAGTCCAGGCATACCCATTATTTACCAAAGCAAATACTTTTGTGCTTAGTAACCAGCATAGCATATCTACACGTCAATATATACTAATTATATATTATTATTAATATATATATCCATTATACTAAGTTTGTTCGTGGACCAAGGGCCCCTCCCTATCCTACTTTGATGCAACAATGCCTTCTACGCCCGCAAGTGACACGTGCTTCACTAGGCCGTACGCTAGGCATAGCTTCGCATAGTTTTGTTCTTTAACATTATGGTGCGCGCTTCATGCGCCCTGCGACGTGGGGCAATAGTGTAGCGCCTCACATTTGATGCAACAACGCCTTCTACGCCTCGCAAGTGACACGTGCTTCACTAGGCCGTACGCTAGGCATAGCTTCGCATAGTTTTGTTCTTTAACATTTTTATTGGATCTTTGTACTCGATAACCAAAAACACATATTCCAAAAGACAAAATAAAATCCTTAGGCCTTTATAGTAGACCAATTGAGTACCATAAGTTTTGCTTCAATATTAGTCTTGAGTTTTTTATTTGGAAGTTTATGAACTTCGCTCTATGTTGGATGTGTTAGCATTAGAAATTAAAACTTTATTTTGTGATTTCATAGTAGATATTATTTATCTTGACATATTTTAATGTGAAAATAAATAAACATGTTATTTTGTGCTTGATTACTCATCTTGAAAAATAATGCGTGGTGTGTCTCGCTTCACTCAGGCGCGCACGCATTGCTCCTTGCGCATGTACGTATAAAGATACTTTGCGTCCCGCATCGAGCCTTGCGCGTTCACAACACAAGCCTTGGGATTTGTAAGCTCAGAATCATTCAAGCAAATATGTGTAGGTGCAATATATAGGTTCAAAGACCCATGAACAGAGATGGATAAGTTTAGGAGATACGTGCTTAAAAGTTATGGGCCTTCAACACCTAATGCCTAGTTGAATGCCGGTCCAATGTTGGAACGCAAAAACATAACATCTACCTAGGGAATTGAATTAAATTTATGTATGTATGTATCAGTCACATATTACCTTAGAATCCGAGAGAAGGGACATGCACCAAGAAGAAAATCCTAGTTTCCTTCTTCAGATCACTTTCAGAGAAGGAGAGAAGCGGGGGAACAAAAACTAGAGTACTTGATATTAGTTTGAATGTGAAAATCCACAGTGATGGAATTTCAAACCGTTCAATCGAAAACATCGTGTATAGAAGCTCTTAGGGATCCCATATTACCTATTGCAGAGGAGAATGCCTGCAGTTCTTTTTTTCTCCTTTCCGGAGAATACCACAGCTTTCTATTTGTATAAAAAAAATCTCAAGTATTTCCTCATACAGGAAGAACTGAACTCCTCACTTTCCCTTGCCTGGCAAATCGGAACCTCCCGCTCGATACCGATCTCTTCATCCGCACAGGACTCATCACACTATGCAAGCTCCGGCTCCTGCTGCAGCCTTTGCCGCTGTTCTCTCCTCGACCCCTCGACGAGCTTCCACTGTCAACAAACACACCTTCATCCTTTGCCACCATAAACTCCTCCTCCATACTCAGCTGCAGTATATCAGCTACCGAAACCCTCCCCCTGCGCGAAGGCTCCTGAACACCACCCTCTTCATCGTCTCGAATCTCAATTACATCATGATCCCCTCCTGAATTTTCCTTCGAACCATCATCATCGCTCCCTGAACTTGTCTCCTCTCCTAAGTCTTCAATTGTCAGGATCGTCTCCTCACTTCGCTCCCCTCCTGCGTTGTTACCCTCTGACGACGGCGGCAGAGGAGGAGGAGGAGGAGGAGGAGGCAATTGGGGTGGTCCGGGATTGACCGACACGATGTTAGCACGGCAAAGGGGGCAATTCGAGTGAGACCTAAGCCAGGTATCAATGCATTGGAGATGAAAAGCATGGCTACATTTTGGTAGCAACCTGAGGCTCTCCTCCTCCCTAAACTCACCAAGGCAAACAGAGCAATCGGTGCCATCAACCACACCCTCTCCTCTCCTGTACCTGTAAACCGAGATCTTACTGATCAGGGCCTCGTCGAGCCCATTCGACGGCAGAGATGTGCCACGTCTCGCTGCCGACGGGACTGATCGCCCGCGTCGCGTCACCGTCGGGGACGGGATCACCAGGGCGAGGGGAGCTGATCGGCGGGTGGCCTCCGGCGACGGAAGCCGCCCAGTACTTGGAGATGATGGTGTAGTTAGCTGACGAGGAGGGAAGGCGCTGGCCGAGGATGCCGATGATGGCGATGACGAGGGCGGGAGAATGGTGGCCGCCGCCTGAGAGCAGTGCTCGTCGTCGTCGTCTACGAAGGAGAAGGGAGGAGGGGGAGGGAAGATGACGTAGCACCACTGAGGGCAGTAGATGCTGCAGAAGCCCTGAGAGCAGTCCTGGCCGTTTCGTAGGTACCCACGTTTGCTGCTGTTGGCTCGTATCAGGAAGAGGCCATGGGTGACACGAGGGGTGGATCCGACGCAGGGAGAGAATTGGGACAAGAGATTGTTTTCAGGCGTCAGGGTGAAGGGCTAGTACTAGTGATAGTACCATTGGAGGAGGATCTGCGTGAGCTCCTGAGCCAAATGCTTAGCGGTGAAAATTCGAAGAAGGAACCAAAGTGCTTGAATGCAAAGCAAAGTGAGGAGGAAGAGAGTGGGCTGGTTTGTTTTCTTTATCTTGCTTTTTTTTTTCCCTCTCTCAAAGAGAGTGGAGGAGGGTTGATGGTTGGTTGACTGCAGAGATGCAAAGTTAAAATCAATGCTTTCTTTGCTAGTGGATGGATTCCATTTCTTTTTCATTCCCCCCAACAAAGGCAAAGGCAAATTACCAAAAGACACATATCACTAAATTTTGGCCAACCAACCACAGAGGTGGTGTTAGGTCCACATCAAAGTTCCTTCTAGCTTCTTCTGTTTTTTTTTTTTGGGGAAAAAAAAAATCAAAAAAAGCACACATTTCTAATGATCATTAATGCGGAGGTATCACATGTAGGCCATCATTAATTGTTCCAGAGCAAGGTCAAATAAATAAAAGCAAGACTAAGCTTGAATACCAAATAGAACCCCCATAAGATAGAATAAAACAACGAAAGAACGCATAACTTGTGAGAAATATTTAGCTCACTGAAAGTACAGTAACAAATATTTATGAGAACAGATTAAGGTAATCAAATATAGTACCGATTAGCTCAAAATCTAAGGAAGCTCTAAAGCTTTTCCTCTTAACTCCAGGATGACAGCAGCCCCATATGAACACGTACCTAAAAGTAAGAAGAGCATAATCTCTCATTTTAGTTATGCTTATCTTAATTTAAGACCATTAAAAAAAGATGAATAAGATAAATCCATGGCCTCTATTAGCGGTCAAACGGGTAGCTTTCTTGGACGGCGAGCATTTGCAAATTTCATATTGTTACAGTTCCATACTGTTATCAATAATCTTATTACAACCTGACGCGCTTTCTCATAAATGTAGACATGTAGAGAGGCAGCAAAGTAGCTCATGGGTTTTAATACATCATCATTAGTTAAGAAAGATTATACCTCTACCTATAGTTTTATGATTCTAAATTCCTAACATATCCAACTGTTATAACACCAAAGCAAGTAGCTATTATCGCCCGATCGTTGACTCATTGGTGAACCGCTCGACTGGGAGCTCATAATATCTATCTCTAATTGTATTTCCTACTCGTTTTTTTAAAGAGTTCTTCAAAGGGACACTGTTTTAATACAGTAATTGCAGAGAATCTATTGCTCAAAGCACCCATATGACTGGAGTCATCCAAAATCCATCAGCTTTTTTACTGATAAAAATAATAGCAGATCACATAAAATTTCCCTAGTACTATCAAATTTCTTGCAGCAAATTCAAATTCCTTAAACCTAACAGAACAGCACAATTGCCTGTGGAAAAAAAATGGAATAGAATCATTCTGCAAGTTTGCAGCAAAATGGTACATGAGAGTTTTTTTTTTTGTAATTTGTTCTGAAAAATGAAGGATGTGCTAATATCTCAGGTTTCTTCGTTGAATCTCCTGCCTTGTTCAGAGACAGATGAAGAACCAAAATTGGTGAAAAGTCCCTAATCTATTGAGAGAAATCAACTGGTCTGCGAAAACACAGGACTGCTCTGTTCCATTCAACAATACCAATTCCTCTGGCAAGCCAAAGAACCTATTGTAAGGGACAAAGATAACAAAATGGCATCCCCTAATTACATGTGAATTGACAAATTGTTAGTTTCATCACTAATCATGTCCTCTTATTAAATGAACTGAACGGTACGTTAAGCGTCGAATAGAACAATTATAAACAATGATGAGCAAGAGTCACACGCCACTTATCCGAAAGCAAGGTCTTAACTATCTCTAATTGTATTTCCTACTCGTTTTTTTAAAGGAGTTCTTCAAAGGACACTGTTTTAATACAGTAATTGCAGAGAATCTATTGCTCAAAGCACCCATATGACTGGAGTCATCCAAAATCCATCAGCTTTTTTACTGATAAAAATAATAGCAGATCACATAAAATTTCCCTAGTACTATCAAATTTCTTGCAGCAAATTCAAATTCCTTAAACCTAACAGAACAGCACAATTGCCTGTGGAAAAAAAATGGAATAGAATCATTCTGCAAGTTTGCAGCAAAATGGTACATGAGAGTTTTTTTTTTTGTAATTTGTTCTGAAAAATGAAGGATGTGCTAATATCTCAGGTTTCTTCGTTGAATCTCCTGCCTTGTTCAGAGACAGATGAAGAACCAAAATTGGTGAAAAGTCCCTAATCTATTGAGAGAAATCAACTGGTCTGCGAAAACACAGGACTGCTCTGTTCCATTCAACAATACCAATTCCTCTGGCAAGCCAAAGAACCTATTGTAAGGGACAAAGATAACAAAATGGCATCCCCTAATTACATGTGAATTGACAAATTGTTAGTTTCATCACTAATCATGTCCTCTTATTAAATGAACTGAACGGTACGTTAAGCGTCGAATAGAACAATTATAAACAATGATGAGCAAGAGTCACACGCCACTTATCCGAAAGCAAGGTCTTAACTCTTTTTATCAGCCACCCTGCTTAGTTCCCACCAACTAAGACTTAGGTTGACAGTTGGTCGTCCCTTTTCATGTAATGAATTCTTTAAAGAAGTTATATTCCATGAAGCGTTAAGAAAACCTCATCGTTTGGTGGTTGTGGATGCAAGCAGAAGGAAAAAAAGTGTAAAAAGTTTGTACTCTTGCCACTTAAAATTTGCAAGGCTAAGGAAATTCTGATGCCAATGCCTTGGTTGTGGTTGTGCTTAGGGGGGGTTATTCGTTGGTGTAATTTGTGGGATAATGGAGTAATTTTTGGAACGTCAACTTTTGGTGTTATTCATTGGGATAATTGGAACTGGTATAAAGTTTGATGTGTTATTAGTTTGTTGGTGTAATTAGGGGACAAAAACTCCATTACCCCTAAAATTACACCAGCTATATAAGCATGACTCAGCCCCCAAGCCCAAAATTACCCCATATCGCCTCCTGGGACAAAAGAGGGGAACAAATTCCCCACTTCCATTCTCGAGCTCGATCGAGAACAAATTCGTCGTCGTCATTCTCGAGGTCGTTCGCCGACTTCGCCGTCGAGAACCAAATTCGTCGTCGTCGTTCTCGAGGTCGTTCACCGACTTCGTCGTCGTCGTTCTCGAGCACGATCGCCCGCCGCCATCTCCTTCGCCTCCTCCTCCGCCGCCTCCTCCGCACCACCGCCTCAACCTACCCAACCCAGGTACCCTACCTCAACCTATCTCAATTCTACAAGTTGGTCTGAAATCTCTGAAATATTGTTCATTTTTTTTTTGTTGAGAAAAATGGGCTCAATATTCATGTAAACTTGACTGATTTCAGGCCAGGTGCCAAACTGATCCTTTGCAAACTTGACTGTATATGCTAGTGTGAATTTCACAAAGACCAAGATTCATAGAAAATTGTCATAAACTATTTATTAGAAAAAGTTTTTATTGTCTAACTTCCAGTAAAATGTGATACGCATGCCCTTAACCTTAAAACCGTTAATTAGGTAAAAATTTATTCATTGTAATACAATTCCTAGTGCCTTCAGAGAGGTTTATCCATTGATTTTAGAGTTTGCGGTAGTTTTCTCTAATAAAAATGGTTAACAATAGTTTCCTGCAAAGTTCTAAACAGATTTAGAATAAATTTTATCAGGATGTCCTCATAGTATCATATCAGGATCTTGTGAGCTATTCACTGGGAATGTAGGAGGCACTATGGAACTTTCAGTTATCGCCTTTATGGTTCAAAACACTTCATTTCTATATGAGATTTCTTGAAAAGATCTGTATTCTGATAGGTCGTGTTAGTTTTGTAAAATTTACTATATCCATGAATAATTTGCATGTCGTCACAAGTGCTGATTTTTAGATATGACAATACAACTAAAGTTACCATGTGAAACATGGTTAGGAGTCCTGAAATGTCAATATTTTTAATTATAGATGTTTATTATAGATGTTTTTAGATATGTATATCATGATAAACGGAATTCATTCCTATATGAGATGTTCTTTATTGTGTATCCAATCCAGAAGAGACTAACATTGTTTACAAGGAAACACCAATTAAAAACAAGTGAAAGAAAAGCTTGAACACGATAACTTCTTCATCTCCAAAATATTTGAACTCTAGAAGCTTAATAACAAGAAACATAGGCGTGCAAATTTCAATTATTGAAATACTAGTTCACCTTTATTATTGCAACATATGGCTTCTCATCCTCAGACTCAGGATATAATAACACCGGATCTTCCTGCATCAACATGGGGCTCTGTTTGTTGATTTGTTAATTACTGTATCATTGCCATTTATATGATTACTTTTTGCGGTTGATTGTGCCTGTTGAGGGCCTGGAGCATATGAATTTTTGAGGATGCTACTAGTTATGTTGATTGGTGGTGAAGTTCCCTTTTGTTGATTTTACATGATACCTGTCATATTGTCTGGCATCAAACTATCAAGACTGCCAAAGAAATCAAAGTACTATGCCAACTTAAAACTCATTAAATCATGCATCAATCCCCAGTAATTGTAAGATAGATATGTATTCCCATGCCAAGTTTGTGTATAACTCGTGTCAGATTCTTTTATTAATGACTATTATCTTGATATGTTTTTGTTATTATACAGGTGAGGTTGTTCTATCTAATTTGCTTTGGATAGTTGTTTGCATTAGTAATGAAGTGTTAGAGGGAGTCTCGTGGCTTGATTACTGGTTGTGTGATGGAATTCTTATGCATGCTTTGGATAGTGATGGAATTACTTGTAGTGATGGAATTCTTACTATTTTTTGGTGAATATATTGTATTAAAAATCTTACTATTATTTGATCTCGTTTCCTAATACAGGATGGAAGATAATCAGAATGTCTCTATTTTGCTATTTGATGAGGATACTGCTGATAATCTCCTCATCCGCATTATCAACATGGCTGCACAAATAGGAGGTCTAGTCACGACTATGCTGATTAAAGTGACGGGGAAGGCCGAAATGGTATCAATCACATAGTATTATATAAAGAGTTGTGAAGGATTTTCAGTTCGTTTGCACACAATGAGGACATAAGAATCATGATTTCATCCTTTGCAATGCAATCCTTTCTTGAGTTTCAGAAGTGTTGATGCTTGAAAAGTAGGAAAATGGAAACATGTTAAGATACTGTTCATGGTGATTGTTAGCAGCAGAGGCAGCTTGATCAAGAGAAGTTGTGGTGGAGCTCGGGTTCGGGCGATTTGGGGTTGAAGGAGGTGGTTCAAGGGGTGCTTGGCGGCATGTGGTCGGAGGGGGAGGTGGTGTTGGGGGTGTTTGGCACGGTGAGGGAAGGTGAGCGGAGAGGGTGGTGGCGCAACGGCGGCGACCACAATTCGATGTTGAAACCATTTATCTTGTATTGTTGTGATAATTTGATGTTGAAACTATGTACTTGTGAATTTTCTTGTATTGTTGTGATAATTTGACGTTGAAACTATGTACTTGTGATAATTTGATGTTGAAACTATGCTCTGGTGATTTGTATGACAGTTGGAAAATTTTGTGTGTTATTAAAGATTTGGGGTTGTATGTTTGAACAATTATTGCAATTAAAAAATTTGTTAATATAGCATAAATATTAAAATAAACATCAAAATATTCAAAGATTGATTAATATTAATATTATTATATTATTTTTATTATTTTATATTAAAATAATCTTAAAAATAATATTAGTGTATATTATAACTATTGTTTATTTAATCATTTGATGTTATGTCAAGTTAAACTTGAATTTAATTGAGCTATAAATATAATATTATAAAAAGATGTTATACTAAATTGTCTCATTACCCCATTTTACCCTAATTTATCCCACTCAATTATCCCATTGGGTAAAATCTAAGAAGCACCGACTCGTGAAAACTCCCCCCGTCCTCGTGTCCGACGCTTGTCGGGGACGGACGCGCGTTCGACACGCGTCGGACACGGCGTCAACGGCGTCGACACGGTCAGCGCTAGTCGACACGGCGAAGTTGAGGGCGACACGGCGAAGTTAAGGGCGACACGGCGAAACCAGACTTTGAAACCCAAACCCGAAACCCAAACCCGAAACCCAATTTCAAACAGAAACCCAAACCCTAACCCTAGTCGTGAGAAAACTTACCCGATTGAAGTCGAAAGGGCTCTTGCGAAGTGAAGAGGCGCCGCCAGCTCTCAGCTCTCCTCCTCGTCGTCGTCGGTCGTCAGCTCAAGGTCAGTTCTCTCCCCCCCCTCTCTCTCTCGATCGATCTCTCGCTCTCTCTCATCCCTTTCCCTCTGGTTCTCTCTTTCTCTCTCTTTCTTATCTCTTTCTCTCCCTCATTATCTCTTTCACACTCTCACCATAAAAAACCCGCTAACTTTCCCGAAAAACCCCCACGAACGCCACATTCACCCACCATCCACTGTTCTCCCCTCTTCTCTCAAAAAAAAATCGCACACGACTTTCAAAGGACCTCTGCCCCCCCCCCCTACGATGGTTTTTTATTTTAAAATAGCTGATTACTGTTTGCTACTTTGTCATTTTTCCAACTGTTGAATGCTTCACTGTTTGGGGCTGCTTGGGTTGGTATTCTCATAGTTAACTGTTGCTGATTGGGTTAGAACCTATTTTTTGTTTACTGTTTTACTGCTGTTGGTTAATTAGGATGCTAATCTCTATTTGTTTACTATTTTACTGCTTAATTACCGTATTAACTGTTATTAATTATTCTTTTTTATACTGTTTTGCTGCTGCTAGATAATTTTCTAATGTTAATTGTTATTTGCTTACTGTTCTACTATTGTATGCTAATTTAAATGTTAATTAGGATTGTTTAGCTGTTGTTTGCTTACTGTTCTACTATTGTATGCTAATTTAAATGTTAATTAGGATATTGTTTACTGTTCTACTATTGTTTGCTTTTAGTTACTGTTCTACTATTGTTTGCTTTTAGTTTACTGTTCTACTATTATTAATTTCTTAATTTATTGTTATTGCTTATATTTTACAGAAATGGAACAAGACGGGAGTTCTAGTGGTAGTGGAATACAAGATGACAAATGTCCGCTTTGAAAATATGTTACCAAATTAGAGAAAAGAGGGGGAACGGCAAGAGGAAATTGGAGATGGGGATGTAATTATTGCAGAGAGGATTTTACTGGTTCACACTCAAGAGTTAAAAATCACCTCTTGAGGATAAGTGGGACTGGAATTAAGATGTGTTCCAAGTCAACACCCGAAAATTTAAGGGAGTTTCAAAGGACGGATAAGTGGGACTGGAATTAAGATGTGTTCCAAGTCAACACCCGAAAATTTAAGGGAGTTTCAAAGGACATTGGATCAAGCAGAGGCGAGGTTGATGGCTTCTAGGCCTAAGATGTCAGTTTTGCCTACATCTTCAACTGCAAGTACGGCCGGTGTAGGTGCAAGTGCAAGCATGCCGATTGATGCAGGTGGATTTAAGAGGAGGAGGGGGCCTAATACCGTGGCACAAGCATTCAACATGGGAGCAAGGGAGGAATTGGATGCATTGATTGGTAGGATGTTCTTCACGGGAGGATTGTCCTTCAACTTGACAAGGAATCCATATTATGCCAAAGCTTTTGCATATGCCGCAAACAATCCAATTTCTGGCTACAAGCCTCCTGGTTACAATTCCATGAGGACCACTATCTTACAACGTGAGAAAACTCACGTAGAGAGATTGATGGAGCCCATCAGGGGCACATGGCAACAGAAGGTTGTCTCCATTTGTAGTGAAGGGTGGGCGGATGCACAAAGGAGGCCCATCATCAATTTTATGGCGGTATGTGAGGGTAAGCCAATGTTCTTGAATGCCGTGAATGCCGAGGGAGAAGTCAAGAATAAGTATTTTATCCAAACACAGCTAGAAAAGTGCATCACAGAGGTGGGACCGAAAAATATCATCCAAATCATAACCGATAATGCTTCGGCATGTAAGGCCGCGGAAGGGCTTGTGGAGCAAACTTGGCCTCACATATTTTGGACTCCTTGTGTAGTCCATAAACTCAATCTTGCTGTCAAGAATATTTGTGCGGCTAAGAACACGGAAGCAAATACCGTGGCTTATGCACAATTACATTGGATTATAGAGATCTCCGATGATGCATTGTTTATGAAGAATTTTATCATGAACCACTCTATGCGGCTTTCCATATTCAATGATTTTTCCAAGATGAAGCTCCTATCAATTGCCGACACAAGATTTGCCTCGTGGATTATTATGTTGAAGAGGTTTAAGGTCGTCAAGAGAGGCCTCCAAGACATGGTCCTTAGTGATCGATGGAGCTTATATAGAGACGATGATGTGGAGAAAGCTCAATATGTGAAAGAGGAAGTCCTCGATGATTTATGGTGGGACAAGATAGATTTTATTCTTGACTTCACCGGCCCAATCTATGAAATGATAAGGGTCACCGACACTGATACACCATGTCTTCATTTGGTGTATGATATGTGGGATACAATGATTGAGAAGGTGAAGCAAGCTATTTACAGGCATGAGGGTAAAAGGGATAACGAGGAATCTCCTTTTTATGAGGTGGTTCACAAGATCTTGGTGGATCGATGGAACAAGGGCAACACCCCGCTTCAGTGCTTGGCACACTCTTTAGTTCCAAGGTAATATTTCACATTTTACTCTTTAATGCGAATATTTCAATTAATTTTAATACATGAATTTCTTCTCACAAACATAGGTACTATCATTCCACATGGCTCAATGAGAACGTCAATCGGCAACCTACAAATCAAGATCTTGAGATCTCTACAGAAAGATCAAAGTGCTTAAGAAGATATTATCCTAATCCCAATGAACGATTGGTGGTGAACTTGGAATATGCTAAGTTTGTGGGGTCTTTGGAGGCTTTTGGTGATCCGGATTCTCTTTCCGATAGAGGACATATGGATCCAAAGTCATGGTGGCTTCTTTATGGTGCAAGTGCTCCAAATTTGCAAGCATTGGCCATAAAGCTTCTAGGCCAACCTTGTTCCTCTTCTTGTTGTGAACGGAATTGGAGTATGTATGGTTTCATTCACTCCTTAAAGAGGAACAAGCTAACCCCGACACGGGCGGAGGATCTTGTTTATGTTCACACCAACCTTCGTTTACTTTCTCGGAATTCGGAAGAGTATATGGAAGGGGAATCAAGAATGTGGGATATTGGTGGAGATGCCTTCGACTCATTTCAAAGATCCGGCATGTTAGATGTTGCTGCCATTTCTCTTGACGAGCCCACGATGGAGGCCATTGTGTTTGATGAGGATGAAAGAGTTGAATCCATAGAATAATCTTTTTGATGTTTCAACTTGAAAACTTTATTTTAAGATATGCTTTTGAGTGTAATTTTTATATTTTTGCAATGTTAGTAACTTAGTATTTTGTAGTCATTGAACTAGTTGCAACTTGAACTTTATTCTCTTGTATTTTTATATGCTCAAGATGAAAGTAGTGAAAATTAAAAAATCTAGCCGTGTCGCCGTATCCTATTTTTTGGGGTTTTGCCGTATCCGTGTCCGTGTCCGTGTCCGTGCTTCATAGGGTAAAATTACCCTATTGGAACAATTTACCCCAAATTACACCAAATTACACCAATGAATAACCCCCCCTTAGAGAGCTTGAGGAGGCGACATGAAGGTTCTTGTAGTGTTGTGCATATTCTGACAGTGGAACCAACAGAATCAATGCAAGTGAAGTCTGGATTAGGTTTGCACCAAGAGAAGATAATACTGTCAACTGGCCCGAAAGTACACTCAATGGGGACTGGTTCCTGGAGGTACACCGGCATCTAATTGGATCTTCCGCCATTTTCACCTATATAACCATATGCTGTCTAATCCCCATCTTTTGTGAATATTATAATTGAGTTGAACATGGTTAATATCCCCATACCATAAATATGACAAATTAGACGGCGATCCAAACTAGCAAATGCAGAAAGTTGAAAAACTGATCGTCTAGACGCATGGTTAATTGATTACGGCGGAAACAGAGTAGGTTCTGTATAATTAAAAAGAATTTAAAAACATTGTCGGCATAACTAGTAGTACCTGAAGGAAGGCATCATAATAGGTTCAACAGATAAGATGCCCGAAGAACCATATCTCATACACTTTCCTTCTACTAGTGTAGACCGTCAAAGCTGTACACTATACATTGATACATACTGCACTCTGACTCGTCTTTGGTGAAGAAACATAACAAATGGCAGAACACCATTCAAGTCTCCTGAGATTGCTTTTCTGTATGTTTTATGTCTTCTGGTTCTTCTCCAGATTCATCACCCGACCTTTCGCTTATTTTCAAACGAAGCGGTCTGCCCATCAGTTCCTATTATAAACGAAACAGACCGTTAAGATGGTTGATAAGCTCATCAAGAAAAAGAAAAAGAAAAATTGGTTGATAAAAATAGTTTATTTCTGGTAAAGTCCATAACAAATCAAAATCAGTAGATCAACATGCTTTAGAATTCAAATGACGACCTTGTCATTAGGTAAGCAATAGAATCTACAAATAAATGTGAAAGGAAAAACTTGAGAAAGAACCAATATAAATGTTCTTAGTTGTTTTGGTGTTTGAATGGTTTTCTCAGAGAAAATGTTTTAACACAAAATTAGCAAAGACGCCGCATCAATTATGAATGCAGTCTCATGATATAATCACTGGAACAAACAATTACTAGACATGCAGGAATAGGGTTGAGAATTGCAGCTAAGCTGTGATTTTTTATGGATCTATGCAAGAAGATACTTTATCCTTTCCATATGTTCGAATTTATCATCTTTAACTATCTAAAATATTGAAATGGATAGTATAAGATCGTATATCTTTTACAGTCAAATATGTGCAGAACTATGCTCTCTCAAAATTGTTATATAGATTGAACAAAGTATAGGATTGGTTAAATGATAAATATGCTCTACTTCTCAGTACAATTACTGATTTTTTAATGATATAAGATAAAGGGACACACACTACATGAATTTTTGGGGTTTTACAAAAACTAAGATAAACCTTTTTTTTATTAAAGAAAACTACCATAACCTTACAAAACTACAGAAAAATACCATGGACTGTTGTAAATTGTTGCAAGCGGTGTTAACATCTTAGAAAAAAGGACTAAACTACACCTGAAAATAGGAAATGGTGAGAGGATAAAATAGAAGATATAATATTTACATTAGGGGACAACTGTCAAAACATATGACCAACTTACCCTAAGTATCACTAGCATAAATTGTGAAATAAGCTCGTGGTAACTTTATGAAATTTACCCTTTAAAGGTATCAATCTTCAATTTCCAATAGTAACTCCTGCTCATTTTAAACACAAATCTTGTTTGGCATGTGAAATACAGCATTCATGAATTTATTTTACTAAACGAAAAGTTCAAAAAATACTTACCTGGAAGTAAGTGCATCAAATCAACATAAGCCTAAACATATTTCGCAAGCATAAGATAAAATTCATAGTCATTATTATTTATTAAGTGACAGATAAATACAGAATCTAAGCTAAATCAAGAGGGGAATCTTGATCTCACCTTTCCATCCATTTCAGAAACAGCCGCCTTTGCTTCCTCCATTGTGGCAAAGCCAACGAAACCATATCCAGCAGATCTTCCAGATGGAGTCTCAAAAACTACCCTAGCCGATATTGGCTTAAACTTATCAGAAAAGAAGTCTCTGAGGTTGTTAGCTCTAACTTTCCAAGCAAGATTTGATGCATATATCTTGTATCGTCCTTCTGATTTTGGGGAACTTGTAGGAGGGGGAGAAGGAGGAGACGGTTTAGTGAAGCTCTTAGCAAATTCAACCCTAATAATCCTCCCCGACAATTCCTATAGAGAACAAGAGCTTGTTAGAAACAATTAACTTCTAACGGTTTGAATGAAAAGATGGCAAACTGAGCGCATTGGAACATTTGCTTCCAAACCTAATATTCATTGTACAACTCAGTACGCATAATCTAAGAATGGTGGGCACAAAATTCATTTATTTTTCCAAATACATTTGGGACATATTTATCAGAGGTATTGCATGCGAAATAATACTGTTGAAGTTTGATTTGTATTTTTCCCAATATATTAAATTGTCTCACAAAGAGAGGTTAACATAATTCTAAACAAAGAACAAGCAATGTGTTTCTTTATGTTGTTAAATGCTGCTTGTCTTAGACTACTATATAAAACATTTTAGGATACAGAAGTATATATCATTTGGATTAAACACATGACAGTCAGGAGCCCCAACATTGTGTGAGTGGAAACAGACTCAGAGGGGATTTAAATGAAGAACATGGTTATCAGATATCAGGCGCAATTGCTCCAATAGAAGCCCAAGAGTGGTTTCTTGTAGCCTTGTCCAATGACTGGGAGTCAAATTAACCACCAAACATGCACCACTAACCTGAGGTCCTGAGCAACAGTCACCAGCAATGGTGGTTGCAATACTGATACAAGCAGAGCCATAGAAAAATGACCAATTGGGACTCCACACATGGCTAAGTTGTTATAACAGAATATTTGTCAAAGTGAGGAAAAGAGGCTATTTAAGAGGATGTGGAAGGGGTCGTGGTCAGGTTTCAACACCTGACAATGTGCTATCAGAGCCAAACAGAATTGGAGCTCATTGAAGACGGATCTAGGGAATTCAATCATCTTGAAGATCGAGTCGAGAACAAGGAAATAGTGTTGAAGGTGGTGAGTGGCATGGTAGAGAGCCTTTCACAGCTCATGATGGGTCTCTCCATTCAACACCTTGGTCAAATGGAGTGGATGCAAAGTTCTCCCCCGGTCAACCCTATCTTACCATAGAAGATTCATGAAGGGTTATGACTCAACTGCAGGAATCCTGAATAGCTCCTCAAGTGGACTCTTGAAGCTGAGAAAGCCCTCAAACAGTTGAAATTAATCCTTCCTTCAGCCCCTTCTTGAAATGCCAAATACATTGGAGAAAGAATAGGTGTTTTACTTATGCAGGATGGGCAATTTTGTATCCTAAGTAGAAAATTAAAAAGGAAGAAACTACCTTTATCAACTTATGCAGAAAAAGATGTAAGCAAATTTATTATCCGATAAAAAATTGGAGAGTATACTTGATAGGAAAACATTTGTGATTTCAAAGAGAACTAGAAAAGCAACCCTAAAAGCTAGTTGTTAGAGGGAGGAAACACAGATATTTTATAAACTCACAATTGACTCCCCATTTAACAATGATGTCTAAATGAACCCTAGCATACCACCACACTTTCACAATCTCAGCACCCATGCGAGCAGGCCTTGTGATGTCTAGCTCAATCTAACACTGAAATTGTGACGTCACAACCTTGGCTTTGCCCTAGACTAGCGTACCAGTTGACCACTACAATGCCCGTGTCACAACCCAATCTGCTTGCTTGCTAGGAGGACTAATCAGTGAAGCATCAGTCACATAATCAAAGAATGAGCATGGAGGCTCGAGGAACATGGTAATGAAAGTTGATGGAATTTCACTACATTGTAGAATACGTTAAAGGATCTGAGAACTAGACCGCCGATGGTGCGTCTTGCAGTGTTGAGTGCTCAGAAGCTTGGTCAGGCATTACTGTAACGTTGCCATAATGCTTGAAGAGAATCAAGCTAGAAATGGAGGAAGACCCCAACTACTGTAGCTAGAAAGAAATTTTGATCAAGAGGAATTGTATAATACCTATCAATTCCACAACAGGCTTTGGTTAGGCAAAGGGAAGTTTGTGCTCAGTCCTAACTCAGTCTAAAGTGACAGGTTGGCAGCTGAATGCCACTATGCTCCACGAGAAAGGCACTCAGGTTTTAATTGGACACACTCAAGAGGTTAAAATCCAACATGCGGTGGAGTGAGACAAGCAGGTAGTTCATAGAGTTTGTGCCAACTGCGATGTATGCAAAAAACATAAGGCGAAAACTACTAAAGAGAAGCTTCTTCAACCGCTGTCGATACCCACAACAGTGTAAGAGTCCATATAGATGGATTTCATACAGGGATTACGTTCAACGAAAGGTCATGAGGTTATATACATATCGGTAGATTGCCTCACCAAATATCACATTTTTTCTTTCTGATACACGATACCATGTACAATTGCATCCATAGCCATTCTTTCAGGGTATATTTTGCCCACGTGGATTACTTGATTTAGTCATCAGTGATTGTGACCTCTTTTTCATAAGTCAAGTTTGGCATGAACTCTTCCAAATGTGAGGCGTCAATGAGCTCAGCTTATCACCTTCAGAGCGGCGGTCAATCTGAGGTATTTAACAAGGATCTATAAACTTATTTGTGGGTGTGTTTTCATAGTTTGAACCCTAAATAATGGAACGAGTGCCTAGGATGGACCGAGTACTGGCGTATACAATATGGCACACCTCAATTAACATGACCCCCTTTCATGGCTTGTATGGTATAATGGTAGAGGTCCTCGGCCAAAGTCAACACTTCTTAAGGTGGAAAGAAGCTTTGATGATGAGTAATGAAATATTACAATCACTTAAGGACAAGTTGGTGAAAGCTCAATCCAAGATGAAGAAATTTACTAATAGGCTCAGGAATGATTAGATTGGTTCTACTGTGCCTACAGCCCTGTCGTCAACAATCAGTCACCGCTAAACATGTCTGGAAGCTTGCAACAAGACTATGATTGTATTAGGCAATCAAGGATTGGAAAGGTTGCTTATAAGCTCAAGTTCCCAAAAGAAGTAAGGGTGCAACCTGTGTTTATGTATCACAAGTTCACAATTCAACCATACTATAACCCCAATATTATCCTTGTTCCGATCACTCACTCCATGGGAAGAAGTGGAATAGGTGCCTGAGAAGCGTTTGGATCAGAGATTCGATAGTCTATATGCTGGCCACTGGTGAAAGGATGCGAAGGGGAACTTGAGGCCACTTAGGATGCCTATTACTCTTCCAATCAAGGTTCCCCAATTTGGGCTCGTAGACTAGCCCATTGTAAGAGAGGAGGCTTTTCAAGACCATGAGAACTGAGGGAGTGAAAACAGACACTGGAATGAAAGGGATTTAAATGAAGAACAGGGTACACTGGTTCTGCGGCAATACTTTTCATAGAAGCCCAAGAAAGATTTGATTCCTTTAAGCTCCACACAATGGCAAGCGGTCTTAATTAAAATTAACTCCAATCTATAAAATGTAACAAGAGCTCTGGGAGGGTCCTTACTTCTTGAGTAAATATTAACACAATCTTCCTCACTAATCCTTCTCTTTCCAGCTACGTCTATGATCTACCTTCTTCTCGGTTATACCAATGGAAATTGCAGGACATTAATGGTTGTCGTTAGGATTCAATGAATAAGTATCACATGGACCAGACCCATGGCTCTAAATATGCATCAAATGGATTTCAACCCTTGGACCCTTACACAAATCTCGAGGTCTAATGCTCCAGGGGTCGGTATCCATTTGGTGCACGATTAATGCCATGGACCGGGTGCACTGGATACTTTCTCGGATTCAACACCTCAAAATGTGTCAGTGATTTCTTTATCAACTCTTTTAGATCGGCTTTCGTTATCATTCACATTAACTTTTATTCAATTCTCAAGATACCGTCAGGCTGATGTTACAACTTACAACACCTTTTCTGTTTCCTCCTATTAGCAATCCCCAAACTCTAATACAATGCTTAATAATAAGTAGTAAATTCAAACAAAATATTGTAAGGAAATAAATTTTATGAAAGTTACCCAATTTTTAGTATCTCTAAAAATCCCAAATTTAACTCACAAATGAATCGAACTTGTCAACAACAGCCTGCGCCTCCTCATGAGAAGCCATGGTGATGAAGGCAAACCCTCGGCTCTTGCCATTCCTCTGCTTAATTATCTGCAATTAATCGCCAAAAAAAATTTTTTTTTACCCGCAAAAATATCACTTCTTAACCTACTCGCGAAATCAAGAAACGAGATGCAGTCACCTCCACATCGTTGACAGCGCCGCATTCTCCAAAGAGCTTCTCAATGTCGGGGCCCGACAAGCTCCACGGTAAGTTCACCGCGTACACCTTTCTCCTGTTCTCTGCAGCGCCTTCTTCTAGGGTTTCGTTGATCTTGTTTCCTCCTTCGACCGCGATGTCTTGCACCGCGGAGCACGGGCGGAGACGGTGGAAGCCTTTTCGGGTCAAGCAGAGAGAGGGCCGGGGATTCGAGAGATGGTTGAGGGCAAAATGGGAAACGTGAGGGT